GCCCCCCAAATTTTGCATAAACTATTGTTGTGAAATGCTCTTGGGAATATGCACACCTCCCAAGAGGGGGGCAAACAAAGTGAATTATGGCAATTGGAAAATAGAGAATGGCGGCAAATTATGGGGAGGAAATAGATTATATATATCGTGACTACGTACAACTCGTGCGCGCAGTTCAACACTAAACTTATTCGGCTGTCAAGTAGGCCAAAATTTGCCTGTCTCCTTTAAAACTCAGTCGGCCATGCTGGACAGCTAAGTTGTCCAACACCAAGACATCTCTTTTCCGCCAAGGAAATCCAACCGCATTCCTCCATCCTGTTGCCCGGATGTGCTCAATGACTTCCGGGTCGATTTCACTTCCGTCGCCGTAAGTTGTGTGAGTTGGGTACATGTGGTCAGGAATCGTGACGTCATCAAACATGGGTGATTCCTTGTAATATGTGTTGTGATGCACGTTTGGTTGCGTGAACCAAATTTTGCGGCCTGTGATTGGATGAGTAGCCAATGGCGGAAGTGTGTACCAGTAGTAAAGATTTCCGGTGTCCTTCTCCCATTCATAGTTGAACTTTTCTCGTTGTAAAAACTCCTCCACTTTCTACAATATGATAAACAAACAAACATTGGTTCAATATATCGTGGCATAGCTCCCTGATGCTCCCATTTTGAAGTAGACGTAAACAAAGTAAGGGATGTTAGGCCCCAACCCCGAACCCTCCATCCAAAAATACTATCCCACCCCCAAAAAACCCTCGGAACAAAAATAAGTTAAAGGGGGCATCATACCGAATGCCGTGGGCCCTTTTTGCTCCGAATACTAATAGGAAAGGTGGCGAAAGAGTTCGACTCCTTGGACCTAACAGGGGTCCTTTCCCCGTCTCCTCTCCTCTCCTGGCCCTCTCCACCCAAGCAGAAATCTCTCCTAAGCTACGCCATTGACATTCGTAAGATCAGTAAACGACACATCAATTTGTTCCGGGTTGCTTTCATCAGCCATTCACAATACAGATTGAAAACTCTTGAAGCCCCACTCAAGCTGTTTCAAACTGCGGCTTTAGCTATATTGAGACCCCACGCCGCGATTTTTGTCTACTCTAAGCTCCCCGAATCCTTTTGGCCAAACAGGAACCAAAAACGCAGGAAAACAGGGTGTGTTGGCAGGTTAAAACTGTAGCCATATTGCATTATACCTTTGGGTCTTTAGTCATGAACGACTGCTGCCATGATGCATAAGGTTTGTGTTTTTCGTCAGGTAAATATCGTGTGTAGCGGATCTTCCTTTCCTCAAGTTTCTTTAAAACCTCGGGATCAAGTTGAGCGAATACTTCACAATTTCTGACCAGCGGAGTTACCCCACCCCATTCTTCATTTGGCTCAGTGAGGCAAAAGAACACAATCTGTAAGCGAAAAAAAAAAGGCAAACATGCTCACGTGTTAAAGTGGCCAGTTTGAAAAAAAAAGGTATGTATCTAACTTTCACGCGCACGTTAACTGAGAGCGAATATAGCTGAATAAGATGAACGTTTGCAAAAAGTTGGGCATTTTTTTGAATCTGCGTGTTCCATGAGTTAATAGCAAAAGTACGTACATGTCTATTAGTAAAACTTAAATCTTAGAAACGTTACCTTCTTGGGATAAACAGGTGAACATGCCATCTCATTATGTAACTCGATATTGAAATCCGGGGGGTCACTGGTGGATAAATACACCTCGGTTTCTCCTTCCGCCAGATATCTGTTTCCTGTTCCGCCTTCGTAACTCGTTGGTTTGTAGCCAAGACTCGATGTGAACTTTGCAAAATCCCCGGCTTCAAACAAGGGAAGATTGCGAAAAAGGACCGCGTTGTATTCTGGAATAGCTCTGTCCAGCTGTTCACGGCAAAGTTGGCCCCATTTCTCTACGCTCACGTGACTGACGGGATCGGCCCGCAAGGCGTATGGGAAGCCTTTTCGAGCGGGCGCCAGAAATTCTGGGAAGCTTTCTCCTTTGGAACCTGGCAAATATTTTCTTCCAGCGAGGCGATGTTTAAATTGAAGTGCTAGGTCTTCGTGAGGAAGGGGCGTAAAATAGGAATGCTTTTCAGCAACTTGAGGCTTTGAAACAAGAGACCGTTTTTGCGTGATCCAGCATAAGACAGAAGAGGTTTCTTGGCGCGAGTGATTTCGCAAGAGAAAAACTTTAGATGTCAACATCCTGTAGAAAGATATAAGAGGAACTGTGGTTAGGTTTGAGCCAGTAATTGAATGTCCAGTGACTGAGATTCTAGCTAAAATCAAACTGAGTTCATTACTTTCGAGTAGTTTTGTAATAAAAACTAAAGGTAAGCATTACCTTTTTAAGGGATAAGAGATGACGTCAGTTAAGCGTTTAGCCCACTCTCTGCTTACTACACAAGTTTACCCGCGTTGTTTAGCGGACTACACGGGCGGAGAAATGTGATAAAATGGCAGGCTGTCAAGCCACAGTTAATAGAGGGGACTGGTTATGAAGCCCAGTAAACATCAAAGGAGCAAAGAAAGATGCTAAGATTTATGTTGGAAGGTCCACACAGTGCTCAATCTTTTATTTTGCGCTCATATACTATGCATGAATTACGTAACCAACGCGTTTTTATTGGTTAGTTCCTCAGTACGGGGTAAACAATTATTGTGTTTTGTGCACTGTCAAGGCCAAAAAAGCGAACAAAAACATACAACAAAGAACTTTGTCGGGTTTCATAACCATTCCCCTCTATTAAATGAAGAATACAAAAGCAAAAACCGACACAACGTAGGATGATTTTTTGAAGGTGTACTATATTTCGGCTGGCCAAACCAGCCTTCTATTAACTATGTTCAAGCAAAAGGATCTTCGTTTTGTCATTCTAAAAGCCCAGTTCTCTTGGGGTAACCGCTGATGACGTCATTGTTTATTCTTGCCTTGTCAGTATAAGACTTTACATAGAAGAAATTAAGGTAGATGGTTGACTCAAATATAATCTCTACTGGCTGGTGAAATCAATTTTCACTGAAGGAGATATTGGCTTTCAAAGACTGCAAAATCTCAGTATTTCAAACGCACTCGCTGGAGTGAGGTGTGTGGTTTACGGAAAATTTTAAATTCAGTGCTTCAAAAAACGGAGCGGGAGTTTAATCTGCTCTATTGTTATTTATGAGATTTAAACAAGTATAGAAACGTTCAATTGCATTCCCACACCTTGGGGGTTTATAAGCTCAAACATTGTAAAATTTTTTATTTTTTAAAGCCCGCGTCACCCTAGTGTTTTACAAGTCGGATTCAAATATTTTGGACACAGTTATCCGTGCCATGCCCTTTCTTTATTCAGAGTTGATATTTTTGTAGTAACTCGACCAGAAACAAAAGCTCTTATGATAATAAAGCTAGTATTGTTCACAAAGGTTCTTATACATGAGCAAAATATATAAATGAAATAAAATTAATAAAATACAACCAAAGTATGCGATGCATAAAGCCGGAATTTTAGTCACCCGTCACTTATTTTTCCACCAAGGTCCTGCTGGCTGAGAGCTCGAGGGACGGGTCGCGCTAGGGACGAGTATATAACGGCTTAGGCTTATTACCAGGCTTGTTCCTAGGCTTCAGCTAAACCCCAGACTCAGCCTTTTGCTGGTAAGATCGCTTTAATTTCTTTCCGTTGGCCACGCATAAATTTTAGAAGTCATCTTATTAAACATAAAACACATTATTTCAGATCAATCGAAATTTCCTTTTCTAGAATAAGTATGCAACTAGCTGATCTTACAACTTATAAATGTTCAATCAAGGACACGATCCGTAGCCTGAAATGTCAGTCAGTCACTTCCCCACCTCCCTCCCCCCCCCCTCCGGCCAGCCTGATGATTTGGCTTAGCGTGGGGGACGCCTGACATTTCAGGCTACTCGCCATCTGGCGCCTCTCCAAAAATGAGTGATATGCATTTATGAACTAGCGTCTTATTTTGACAAAGAGTTAGGTTCAAAGTACTAATTTATAAAAGTCTTAAATTATAATGGCCAGCGGAAGATTTAAACGTTAGCTTTAATTATTATTCCGAAATAAACAACGACTGAATTACTTACTTAATCAAGCGCAGTTACGCTGAAACCGGAAGATAACTACACCCGAAGTTTGACTTGATTGGTTTCAAAATTTTAATTTAAGTTGGTCAAGCGACCCTGTCTGCATGTGTCTGATCCTTGGTTTTTACACCAACTGACAGATATTGAGACTAACTTGTGATGCGTTCGAAAAAGCTGGGCCAATTGCTTTGAACGTTGCCTGTGGTGTCAGTCAATTGAAGGCTGCTAGTTTGTCCCTGTATCTTTCAATTTTGATCATTGTATTCGTTATGAAAACTTCTACTGCGGTAAATCGGCAAATAATTTCATCGGGTGAGACCTAGCTAGACACAAGTTAAAATCTTAATATTGATTTATATGTGACTGTATATCGTACCCCAGTAAAACCGACACGTTTCCAAGAGATTAAACTTGATACAAACATGACGTTGCCGCGAACGTTACTTTAACAGTTTGAACTATTTCATTTCAAATTTTAACGTCCCAAGAATAATTATTTCGCCAATTCTTATCGAGGCCAGAGAGTCATTGACCATACCCTTTCAAGCTCTAATAGTATTTGTGTACCTCAGTTAACCAGCGAGTTTTAACTTCACTCTTTCTCGCCCTCTGTCAAGTATTAAGTAAACCATTTCAAATCGGGTTTTGATAAGTTTGTATAATTGTAGAGAAGCCCTTTAAGTGTAGCATATAAAGTGTGAGTGACCAGTTAGCAAATAGAATAAACCGCAAAGATTGATATGTTCACTCCCGTTAATCTAACTGAACAAATAAATAAAGTGAGGAAGTTATCTCAGTAAAGAATCTTTCCATCTACCTCTTCAAATGTTGTTAGATTCCGAGACAAGACGGTCGAAACTTTTCAATGCTGAAGTGATTCGTAACTAGCCAAGGCCCTCTTTAGCACTGTATTGTCATTAGGGCTGTCAAAAGTACAAATATTTTCACTTTTATACTTAATTATATTAGACTCTGCGTATTTTCTTTTGATTTGACTGATGAGAACGATTATTTCAGCAAAATGCACTTTTATGACGTTGATTTCCGGAAACACCGTCTTAAGATAAATATGAAAAGACTGAGATGATATGGTTCCTTCGCCTGCCGAGATTTGTCTCAAACCTTAGGAATGCATTTGTAGTTCAGAGATGAAGGCCGGAAAGTTGGTTTTCGAGACGTTTCCGGCATTTCTGAAGCAATATCCAAAACACTTTCTTTGACATCTATAAGGTTCATTTTAAATAGATCATTTCTGATATAGGCTTAAAGAATCTTTTCTTTCGCACCGACCGGAATTTTTCAAATATCTAAGAAGCAATAAAAACACATCCTTCTTTATTATGTAGTGCACACTTAATTAGCTTCAAACTGGACCTCAGGGAAAAGAGAAATTAGAATAATTTTTGCCATTTCACAGGAAAGGCACGGAAGCTATCTCGCTTACAACGACCGTATTCCGTCAATCTTTCTTCTTTAATGTTATTCGTAGCACAGAACTGGAGGAACAGGGGTAAAATTCTGCTCGTAGTACAGGGCTCACCGATTGACAAGAAGCATTTTAACTTCGGCGATATCGCTCTGAAGAGGTCAAGATAAATAAATATTTTCTAGTGACTATAAAATGAGTGGCATACACCATCGGCATATCCACAGCCAATTGTAGACTCATTAACCTTGTATTGCGACCCGTTCAAGGGATCTTGCCAAGTAACACTGCGAAACATGCCTCTTTTACTTCACGGGCGCAGTTCTTGTGTCTCGCAAGCTCTCCACGTTTCAAGCTATCTCCAGGCTCCATTCTCGTTCCCTCTTAGTCGGTGGGGCCTGAGAAAAAGGTAGTCTGAAGACACAAGACTTGATGGGACAGAATCTTCGACTAATATTTTAGTTAGTCCTTCAGTATGTCATTTTTTATTTTTTATCGTTTTTTTTAATTGCAACAATAACATTACTACAAAATTACCTACTTTACTGACAGTACTAACATAACTTACTATTTAACAATACTTACAAAACTTACAATACTAATATCATTTACAATTTATTAATATATCTTACATTACTTTCATGTAGGACGTTAGCTACAATAGGTGGCTTTCTTACATACCGTAGAATTACGAAAGTAACGGCCCCTGTTACTTTCGGATTTAGCAGGCAAAAGGGGCCGCTACTTTCGGGTGGCCGTTATTAACAATTAGACCCGTGGCCCGACTTAAAGGCGAAGGGCCTAATTGTTTTAGTATCACCCAACTAGTCGGACAGAAACGGCAATAATAAAGTTAGCAAATGCAAGTTGAAGAAGTATTTATTTGGGTATAAGACGAAAGAAAGCGTTACGCTCGATTGTGCCAATTTCGCTACTCGAGGACTATTTAACAATTAGACCCGTAGCCC